ATTTCCATTTTCTATGCTGCTCCTGCGCAATGTTAATGCGCAAAGGATGCCACGGGGTGAAATTTAACGAGCGGGGCTGTCGGTATGAATCAGTCGGAGGAAGGTCTAGATCAGAGTGATCTATAGACGATATCAGAAGCTGGGCGAATCGGTCACTTGTGGACAGGGACCTGGGTAGTGTTTTGACAATTAAAATCTACATTGATGTAGGTATTTAGGATATCGATGGCCTGAGTAATGATGAGATAACTATGTATGGGTGAGTTAATTAGGTCACAGTGACCCGACCAGCCTAGATTATATATATATATATATATATATATATATATATATATATATATATATATATATATATTTAAATCGTCCTTGTATATCTAAAGGTTCTCTGTCGTGTTATTCTATTAGGGCAGGGGTCGACAACCTTTTGAGCCGGAAGAGCCAAAAGTTACAATACAGTTCCCCTTTTTAAAAGAGACACTAACATTTTTATTTCAATATTTTGGCATTTGATTAGGATTAGATATATACCTTTGATTTGAAGTAAATAGCTTTAAATATGAAAGAATATTTATACTTAAAACCATACTAATATTTCGCACAAAACATATTAAAGTATTTTAAGCTAGCTCTGCTAAGATAAAATTAGTAATCTAATAATATATAACTATACGACTATCCCAATCCACTTTATAAACCAATGACTTCTTTTTTTTCTTTCACCACTGGCCCAGGAGGTGTCTCCCATAGCCAAGCACCCCCTCAACACGGCCAACTCCGACTCTGGCTTGTGTTTCGGTCGCTTCTGTCTTCGGATCTCAGCAGGCTTATCTTCCTACCCACTGAACGCAGAGTAAACTCGTATCCCACCGGCTCAACCGTAGGAAGCTAATAACTTAAAAAGAAACACGTCACTCAGGTCAAATTAATGCATACTGACCGATAGAGAAATGCATTCTGAATAAAAAAAAAAAATAGTCCCCATTTAACGATATTCGAAAAAGTCAGCATTGGCAAGAATGGAACAGTCGTCACGGGGCTGGTCACATCACGGCTGTGGGGCTGGGTCTGGTGTCCAAGCGGCTGTCAGCTGTCCGTATACTTTCTACCTCACCTACTCTCATTGTTCTCTGATGAGTGTTTTTATCCTGTATAAAAGTGTTTTTCTTTATAATATTTTAATGAGTTTTGAAAAACACTATAAAATAATCTATATATATAATCTCTTCTGGGAGGCGTTAGAAAACAAGCTGCAAGTCCCCTCTCTTCCTCTCTATCGCTACCACCCCCACCCCCCTCCTCACATGGTCTGGTGAGCTGTGGTTCACGCTAAATGTTTACATTTTACAATCGTAGAGCCGGGTTTGGTGACGGCTATTAGGGGCAGATAATTTAGTTTGAAACGGTTTAAACTTAGAGGAGGTAACTAAGAGGAGGCTGCTTTCACGTGGGGGTGGGGAGGGGGGTTTAGTGTTTTAAAGCAAATATTTTCAGTGGCAGTGGCAGCATTGGTACTCACAAATTATGAATTACTGAAAAGTAGAAAAACAACAACTAAATAGAGGCGTATGATATGCCGCGGGTCGGCTCGTTATTAATATTTGTGCATGGAATGGAGAGCCTCATCTTGACATCAAATAGCCGTGTGAGCCACAGGTTGCCGACCCCTGTATTGTCACCATTGTAATTGTTAGAGATAAATTGGTAGGAAAAGTAGTTCCATACAGATCCACTTGGTTGTTGCCAGAAATCATATTTTCAACCAAAATTGAATGTTTTATAACATTTGTGAAATCAGCGCAAAAAGTAACCCCAGAAAATCATGGGTACTAAACATTGTTCATTGAAAATACACAACATCCCTGTAATTTCTTACTGTTTATAAGATATACATATATTTCATCAAATATTATAAACATAAGCAAATATGAATAAATTATTATTAAATTATGTCTTAGTTAATAAAATTGTCTATTTTTATTTTTTAAAAATGTTTGTGGTCGCGAGCCATTCCCTTATTCAATTGATTCTTGTTTTTGTCGTGTATTATTGGTAACCATAGTGTTCCAAGGGAAGCCACTCTAAAAAAAAATTCGATTGGGCATATGTCGTGACCATTAGAGAGTTAAGTAAAATGTATAGGATATGATCCTAATGAAGATAAACGCGGAACATTCTACGTGGACAGTGGCGTAGGCAGGGGGGGGGGGGGGTTAGGGGGGGTCATAATCCCCCCCCCCCCATAGACTCCTCGATATATATATATAAAGTATGAAAGTTTGAGGGGAGTGGTGCAAATCGAAAGTTTGAGGGGGGGGGGGGGGGTGCAAATCGAAAGTTTGATGGGGGGGAGGGGGTGCAAATCGAAAGTTTGTCCCCGGGTAAAAATTGGAACCCCCCCCCCTTGAGACGATCCTGGCTACGCCACTATACGTGGATGTAGCTAGGGTGGCGTGGTTGGATTTAGTAGTGGTGGGGTTCCAACTTATATTGGGCTCCGCTAACCAGATATTCTGCCATTGGAACCTATGTAAATACAGATAGGCCTTAGCATTTCAGAAGTTTTCAAATCACCATACAGCGAAATTGTCTTCTTCTTTTCAAAGCAAATATCATTAGCTAGTTAATGTAATTGTCTTAGGTATCTTTAAAAAACAACACTTGTGGACGTGTGCTTACGTGAATCAACAACCAAAAACAATACCTTACGTGAATCAACAACCAAAAACAATACCTTACGTGAATCAACAACCAAAAACAATACCTTACGTGAATCAACAACCAAAAACAATACCTTATGTGAATCAACAACCAAAATCAATACCTTACGTGAATCAACAACCAAAAACAATACCTTATGTGAATCAACAACCAAAATCAATACCTTACGTGAATCAACAACCAAAATCAATACCTTACGTGAATCAACAACCAAAATTAATTCTTATCAATCAACAATTAACAATAAGCTTCACAATCAACTATCGATATTCTGCCATTTTCAAAAAAGCTGTTAACAAACCACAACATTTAGAAATCAACAACTAAGAACTTGAAAACATAAAATAAAATCCCATCAGCAAATAATATTTAAAATTCAGCAGTGAATGATCTATATCAACGCTCAACACACAACATAAAACACAATTTAAAAAAAAATCAATTTTGTTTACCATTTACATTTAACAACCACAACAACAAAATAATCCTTAGCAATGTTTCAAACTGCAAACCATTTCAAATAAAGGAACGAAGATCTGTAGCCAAAACAAACAAAAACAACAGAAATTAGAATCATCATTGGAATGTACAAAAGCGGAATGTTCAGTTCTCCTTCGCACCTTGCGCCGAATTTCTGTCTTGAGATAAAATGCTGACACTTCCGGTTCCTCTAATCATCTGTGTGTTATCTGTCTGTGTCTTGATAGTTCGCTAAGGTCAAGCACACCTCCAGTGTTTCTTCTAGACTTTTTTCACCGGGGGGGGGGGGGGGGGGCAATTGAAATTTTTTTTTGGGGGGGGGGGGGGCGGTAGACTTTCTACGGGGGGGGGGCGGACACTGTTAAAAGTATATATTTTCTATATAAATTATAGAAATTTCATTTCGTTCGGGGGGGGGGGGGGGTGGCGGTAAAAAAATTTCGGGGGAGCTTAGCCCCCCCCCCCCTCCCAAAGAGATGCCTGGAAGAAACTCTGCACACCTCTAATCAGCTGTGTTTTATCGGTCTGTGTCTTGATAGTTCGTTAAGGTCAAGCACACTTGGGGGTGAAAAAATAAAACATTAGTAGAATGTGGCGTAACAAGGTTCTTGGCTTTTAATTCTAGTCGACGAAAATTTTTGTTTATCACTGTACTCGTTAGCTGGGGACAGCCACTCTTCTAGGAGAGACAACTCCAAAATCAAACAACTGCTGCCTTGTAGTTTGTTCTTGGTTGGACAAATCCAAAAAGAAAAGCAGGCTTAAATGGGAGTCAAAGGCCTCAATGGCGCATAACCAGTTGACACGTATAATTAATTGTGTTGGAGGCGTGGTCGAGTCGGCTAAGCTCATGGTTGTTAAATACGAAAAAGTCTCGAGTTCAAACCCTCTGGCAGATAAGGTTCGATCCCCTCCAACACTAAATATTAAGAAAGGAGAAGAAGACTGTATTGAATTGCATTGTCAATCGTTGTATTGAATGTGTTAGAAACTTTTGTTAAAACTTTTCTAAGTGTTCTTGGTCTTTTTTTTTTTAAAAACATGAAAAAAAAATTACATTTCAATTAATGTAGGTTAATATGGCAATAGTTTCATATATTCCCATATGAACAAAGCCATTACTTACCTTACATTATGAGGTAAACATTTTGCTATATTTTTTAAATCGCGTTAATTCGCGTTCTGTTTACTTAATGTGCCAGTTACTACCTTGTACCAGTGGTACGAAAGTAAATTAAAACTAATTAATAATTTAATGAGTGCTATTTAATTCACCAGAGCGACCTTTATATTTTTATGTCTGTTAATAATGTTTTTATATATGCTGGTTAATGATATTTCTCCAGCACCATCGATGTGTTTAGAATTCACATTCGTGTATTGTAATCGTGTATTTAACATACACATCCGTGTATTCAACATTCACACATCCGTGTAGTTAACATTCATACCCATGTATTTAACATACATATTCATGTATTTAACATTCACAATCGTGTATTTAACATTTACATTCGTATGTTTAACTTACACATCCATGTATTTAACATACACATCCGGGTATTTAACATACACATCCGGGTATCGTAAGCGGGCGTCTAGCCTTGTTGTAACTTGTACTAGCCACTCACCACCTCTCCCGCCCTCCCATCTCTTGCAGGTAAACTCCATTCCATTTACACCCCCACCCCGTGCTATCGTATGCAATGTAACCCACACTTCACCCCTTTTCATAAATATGTAACATAATTATCTTTACAGCCATACATATCTTATTGTCGATTAATTCATATTTATTTCAGACATTATTAAACAGTGAAGACATTTATTTCGGAGTTGTGAAAATACAATTTCTCAAGGATTATCAAGGGGCGATAATCAAGAAGAGATAATAAACGAGAACACAAGTGGGATAGCGAGGAAGATATAATAAAAGGAGATAGCCAAGGAAAGATAAACAGGAGAAGATAATCTTTATTCGTATATAACGGTGATGATAAGGTAAGAGTTTCTTATCTTTCTTTTTTCTCTCTCTCTCTCTCTCTCTCTCTCTATCTCCTTCTCTCTTTCCGTCTCTCTCTCACTCATTATTTTTTCCCCTCTAACTTTCCCTCTCTGATTTCGGTCCCTCCCCTACCTCTTATGCCAACAAGTGCTGTGTTCTATTCGTCTTCTTCTTCGTCTTTCCAACTCCCAGTGGAGTATGTCATTTACAACATCCTTCCACGCTTATCCGTCCTACACAATTATTTTTTTTTCCATTTTTGACCTTTTCAGATAATATTCAAGTATTTTCAATCATTCTACGACAAACGTGTTTAGGTCTCCCTCCATTTTCTTGATACTTGTTGATTCCATGATATATCTGGTCTGGTAAAACTATTGCTTGTTTTTTTCAAAGTGTTACCTATCCATCTCCAAACTTATTTTTTTCGAATGTCTGTGATTTTTCCTGTCCTTTTCCATACTGTTGTGTGAGGTACATTATCAAACCACTGTATCTAAAACAGTAAGCATTTTCTTATAGCTCATCACACGCTTTCACTTTCGCCGTATTTCGACCACGTACAATCAATTTTTAGGAACTCCTAATCATTACTACAACAAGGTCTCTACAGACTTGTTTCTAAACTTGACATACATGAAGAAAAAAAAATTCAAACTTTTTCTGTGTAAAATAACAACCTGTATTTTTAAAACTACACAGCGAAATATCCGTATACTTCAATCTTCTTCTTCTTCGTTTTTAATTTTTAGCGTTGGAAGGGATCGATCCTTATCTGCCAGAGGGTTTGAACTCGAGACTTTTTTCGAATGTATCAACCATGAGCTTTTGCCGACTCGACCACGCCTCCATCACAATTAAGGATACGTGTCAACTGGTTATGCGCCATTGAGGCCATTGACTTATACTTCAATGAACGTTAAATGAACAAAAATATGACTCCCCCCTTCCACCCCCATCCCTTCCCCTTCCCTCAATATTCCCAATCTCGATTGAACACCACACGCCTAAGTGTCACTCTATAACTAATACTCTAATCATAATGGGGGTGCCCATCCCTAGCCGGCCCAGACTCGACCCCCTACAATCACACCGCCGCCATTCCCCGATGGATGGGACGTTCGCGTGGGCGTCACTGTTTCTACTCGTGGTCCAGTATCGGGCTTTCCCGGTTCTGCACGCCAGGCCTAAAAGGGTTAAACGATATTTCGGTAAAAGATGTATTACATAACGACACCTTCCCTCCCACTCACTAGTTTTCATTTCAAAATCTAATGATGATTTTTTTTTTAGAAATTACCTTAAGCCTATTGAAGACCACTTTTAAGTATTATTTGTACTGTTTTAAAAATCTAGTTACCTGATGGGTGAAACTAGATACATTCTACAATCACAGGTCCTAAACGATGTTCTACTCGATACCTTCTGGTTAGCAGCCAAAGAATCTACTACTCAACCACACAGTCCCTTTCACCTATAATATACAAGTAAAGTTCCCTTTCAAACATGACGGTCTATAGCAGGGGTTCCCAACCTTTTTTACTCTAGAGCACATTCTAAAATATCGGTAGGGTGGCGGGCACCACATATTTTAAATCGACAAACTCCTTCCAGAGGCGTAGCGACCCTTCCCGTCACCCGGGGACAGAATTTTCGATTTGCACCCCCCCCCCTCAAACTTTCGATTTCCATCCCCTTCAACCTTTAAATAATGTTTATGAAAAAAATTCTGTCTCTGTCGAATAGTGAGAGGCGGGCACATACGAATCGTTCGGCGGGCGCCATGGCGCCCGCGGGCACGGGGTTTGGAACCCCTGGTCTATAGGGCAAGTGAAGTAGAGTTCACTTGTTTCTGTGACCTCGGCATATGAAGAGATAATGTTTTCAGCACTATGCCCAGCCGCCTTTACTTTCCCTAACGCGAGTTAGATACCCAGAGTACCACCTATATATAGCTAATACAATAAACAGGATCTGACGTTTGATTGTATAGGTACAGACACTAAGTAATGGATTACAGTTGGGGACATACAGGCAATACAATCATACAAAATGAATAAGTCAATTTTGAGTAGATTTTGAAGTTAATGGAAAGCATAGTACTTGGGTAGAATTCAAGTTCCGTGTGTTGGACTTCCCAGAATCCACTTTGTTCTGATTACTACTGACCTCTACTTCAACTGCCACTGCATTGCGTTTGCCTCCTATTTTTTATACAATCTATCTATATATATAATTCTCTTCTGGGAGACGTTAGAAAACAAGCTGCAAGCGCGCCTTTGCAGTCCCCTCTCTTCCTCTCTATCACTATCACTACCACCCCCACCCCACCCCCACATGATCTGGTGAGCGGTGTTCACTCTGTTTACATTTTACAATAATAGAGACGGGTTTGGTGACGGCTATTAGGGGCAGATAATTTAGTTTGAAACGATTTTAAACTTAGAGGAGGTAACTAAGAGGAGGCTGCTTTCGCGTGGGGGGGGGGGGGGGGGTTAGTGTTTTTAAGCAAATATTTTCAATGGCAGCATTGGTACTGTCGAATTCACAAATTATAAATTACTGAAAAGTAGAGAAAAAAAACTAAATAGCGGCGTATGATACGCAGCGGGTCAGCTCGTACTTTTATAATTGTTTAAAAAGTTAACTACAACACAAGCAAAAAAAAAAAAAAAACAGGAGGCTTCAATTTTTATTCATACTGAAAACGTCACTTATCTCCCATTGCAAATAATAATAAAACCAATCGTTCCATAACATCACACTGGAGCTACTCCCCTTCCCAGTGTTTATTCACGCCCCATCGCTATGTGCACTGTATGATGCGCTTACGTCGCGTCCACTTTTTTTGTCACGCACGAGTGACTTCCCCTGGCGCTAATTATCGACATAATGAGAAGAGAACTACAAAAGCTATCGTCCCTTATCGATCGTGATGAGATGTGATCGTCGATAATCGCTCGCTGGTGTGATGTCTAGCCACAGGCTTAACTTCAAGAGTCGGAACATTGTTATAGAAATTTTTTTATATATCCTGTTATAGAAAATTTTTTATATATCCCGGTTGCGTCCCTTTGCAATATTAATTATGGAACAGTAGTTTCCCCTTTAAAAATGTAATTATGTATAATGGAAAAAGTTAATATCCTTTTTATGTGGTTTCGACTTGAGGTTTTATTTAATGATTGCTACGTAAGCAAATATTTTTTATTTATTAAGATAAATAATTAGTTTTGCCTTTATTACTTTTATATACTTTTTAACCTTTTTCTAAAAAAAAATGTTTGTATCGAGAGAAAAAAAAATTATATACATTCAAGTTACTTTCTTTGCATGTTGTGGTTGTGGGTAGATGTATTAGTTATAAATGTGTGTGTTATGGGGTGGGGGGGGGGTGGTGGGGGGATTACCTCTAGAGCAGGTGAAGTAGATACCTAAGCCTGCTTATGTAATAGGACCATACAATTCTGACGGTGATAATACCAAAGACCGACGGCTTGACAAAACAATGCTTTGTACCCATAACAGCTGAGTGTGATCAAAAACGTATTCATAAACAAAAACATGGCCATAATTTTATTATGCCCATTAAAAAAATGGTACTTTATGCCTCAGCATAATGTGGTATGCGATAAAGTTAAGAAATACAAATAAAAGTACACACACACACACACATACACACACACAAACAAAACAACAAGAACCGCAGCTGTGCCATGTGTTGCTGTCATAACTTAATTACAACCTCTCTCCTTATCTTCGCCATTTGTTCCACCCTTGATTCCAGACTCAAATTTGTTTTTAAAATAATTAAGAGTTATCTTTTCCTTCGATTTTCCCCCGAGATAAAGAGAAACCACGTGTTCATACTACGCCTACTTCATATATACATACATACACACACACACACACATACACACACATAGTCAATCACAAACACACACACTCATTTATATACACTCACAGCTAGATTAAACCCTCTTTTTTATGTTAAATTTTGTGTCTATCTTGAAAAGATTGATGCCTTCCTTCCCCCCCCCCCCCCCCCTCCACCCTCTTTCCTCCTCGTTCAACTTATTTAACCCCGAGTGCAATTTAGCCCAGTCTATAAATAGCCACCAACCAAGCGAGGGAATTCGTCGTTGTGAGGACATGTCAGATGTTTATCTCCCTTAGTATCAAGAACAATAACCGACGCTCTTGTAAAGCGATACTCAGTTATCTTTTTGCTTACCACAAAAGTCCTAGTTTTGTTCTAGGTTAAATGAGAAAATGATATTTTTTCCGTTATTATATAACAATAGTCATACATTTGTTATATAGAATCAATTTCGCTAACCAACCTTGATATTTTAAATTTATTAATAAACCTGAATGTAATAATGCAGTTACGTCTAATCTGTAATTTTCCATTAAAATAATTATTTTCTGTACCCCATGTACTTCGACGTTTAACAAAATAGACTTCCAATATTTATCTGGATCTGGGTATAAAGTACAAAGTTATCCCCCCCCCCCCCCCTGCTAGATCTCGAATAACAAAAAAACGTAATTTAAAAACGCTGTTCGCTAAGCCGTAAGGTTTTTATGCGCATCCCAGTGCAGCTTGAATGACGTTTTCGTGCGCACCGCGGTGTGCTTGAATGGCATTGAATGCATTGTTGATTTTATTTTTCGGTCGAGTACTTTACACGTGACGGCTATGGGAGAGGGTGGGGGCTTGTTGATTGTTTCCTGTGGGTTACTTTTGTCAATGGGGGACTCACCAGTTACGGCCCCTGTTTTGTGTGGCTCACAATGGTCTGTGGGGGTCTCATTCACGATATTTCACAGTGCTATGGTATAGCGTTTAGTTTTGTAGTTTTCCATGTAGGATTAATTTTTGTAATATTCCATGTAGGGTTCAGTGTTGTAATTTTCCAAGTAGGGTTCATTGTTGTAATTTTCCAAGTAGGGTTCAGTGTTGTAATTTTGCATGGAGGGTTCATTCTTGTAA